CAGGATTGATTGGTGCAGGCGACTTCCTCTTGATCAGCTTCTGCTGTTTGGAGCCACTTGGCTTGGTGGTTCTACTGCGTGACAGCGAGGATTCGCCCTCAGATACGGTAGTCGCAGCTGTAGTGGTCGAATTCGATCTCGAGAACCGCGCCAAGCTTCCGTCTGTGTAAACGGAGGAGCGGCTCGACTTCGTGCGCCGACTGCTGCTTACACTACCAAACAAGTCGCCCTTGATCTGGATGCCTTGCCCAAAGAGGTTTCTCCCGATGACGTCCAAACCAAAGATTGCTGCTCGAGATCGCATGCTGGTAGTGGGCGTGGAGGGGCGCGAGTTGTTCCCAGTGGAGAACTTGAACAACCCGTATTGTTGGACTGCAAGCAAGCACTTGATCAGAAGCCACGTCAACTTGGGTACCCCTACTCACTCGTCTGGACAATCCGGCCAGGAACGCGATCTGTTTGGATAATGTCTTCCTCGCCTTCGTCTGAAGAGTCGCTCGAGGTGACAACGAATTTCGAAAGCTCTCCTGCCATGGGTTGGACCCGTATTACGACCATCGGGGGTCCTCCAACCCCAAAGGGTATATGATCTGCAACTCCGTCAACATCGATCTGAACGACTGCTTTCGTCTAGTCCGACCATGTGAGCAATTATTCGCGAACAACCAGATAGATCGTTTCGATCTTCACCTTTCGGCGCTCCTTCATGAAGTCCCTCCTCGAGTAGACGTTATAAAAGGTATTCGCGACGGTGATGCGCCCCCCACGAGACTCGACTTCCTCCTCCTCGGATCTGACGACAACGGACAGGCCCTCCTTGGTACGGTACTTTGCTTGAGCCGTCCACAGGTTCTCCAAGAACGCCTTCTTGTCCGATTCAGCACGTTCGGGATTGAGATTAGGGGGGCTAGGAGGGTGGACGACCGTCAGTGCCCGAAAGGGCCTGCCCGACCACCGATCGGATAAGTCCTGGGGAGGGTTTTCCAGGTAAAGGTGGAACTCTAGAGTGTAAATACTGTTAGGATCAGAAATCCACGGACGGTGTGGGGTGTGGAAGCGCACCTGATCCACCAACGTCTGTTGCCACAACGTCTGTGATTTCCACAATCCCCTTGAACTGCAACCCGGACTTCCTCAAGCTAATAGGTCGTGAAGCTGGTTTCGGTAAGACTTTGTTCAAGTCGTTCAATCCAGATAACACCCTCACGGGTTTGTCTCCATTGCGCTTCACGATCATCAATTTGTCATCAAAGAGGAACAAGCTGCACCTGAGGGGTTCGATGCCCACTCCGGCGATTTCCTCTGCCGAACCCCCAGCGGGACAGTAACTGTCCTCCACGTCTATGCACTCGATGAACCGTCGCGAACTCGATATCAAGGCAGGTGGGAAGCCCTCGATTGTTGAGTTGAGGGTGTACATGACCTGACCTCGCTTGGTCTCGTCATCCAGCTCGGCAAGAGCGATGCGACTGGCAATATCGTCCGCCTCTATAAGCTTCGCTCGCTGGGGGTCATCTTGCGCCATTCGTTTGATCATATTCCGGAACATCATCGTATATCGGGGTATTCGCTGAACGGGGTCCATGAGAAGCTCTCGGAGACCGATCCTATTCTTAACATCAGCATCCGAGTATTTCATACGCTGGTATTGACCAAAGCGAAGCGTGTCAGTAGATTAATGATGTATTCGAAATATGGAGACTCACATCAATGTAACCTGGAAACTCCGAACCCTTTCGTTTCATCTCATTCTCGAGTATAGCTTGCGCCTCCTCCCTCTTGGCGTAGTATAATTTGTAAAGGTGGAATCCGTTATAATCCTTGAAATGCTTGAGCGCAACATCGCCGATCCCTCCGACACTGCTTCCGTTCCTGCCTTCGTCGTCCATTCCGGCAAGCATTTCGTCCAGATCCTCGAGGAATGCTTCGTGTACAGGTATTAAGTCATCGATGTTCGCAAACAGGGTATTTGCATGATACTGCTTGATTATTGCTGTAGCCTTGGATCGCGAAAATTGTCGTAAGGGATCTGCGTAATCTTTCTTGAGGGTGTGAAGCTTGTCGACGTAAGACCTTTCCGTGCTAACGAACTCGTTTATTTGATCTTTAAGGGCCGTCGAATCGGTCATGGCGCGCTGTCTTTTCTGTTTGCCATCCTACAACGGACATATCGAGTAAGAATCGATGCTGGAGATGCGACGTGGGACAAAGACACGTATAACGCGATGAAACGAAGAGTTCTGGATTCTAACGGAATAAATGCACACGCACAGCTTCAGATCGTTCGGCGCTGGGGGTCGGAGGTGGTGGTGGGGGTTTCTTCGATTCTAGCGGAATGCCGAGGGAAGCAACGAGATCCTGAACATCTAGACATGCAAGGGTTCAGCCCCAGGAAGTCAGGATGAGCCCAATCGCGCCAAAGACCTGATCGCGCACCGTCAGGATAATCCCGCCCTTTTGCCGGAGTCTCGACTATCACTCCGCAAAAGAATGCACGCTTGGTGATCGTCGGCAGCGTTTTGGGTTTTGACCGCCATTCTTCGCCGCTGCTTAAGGGTACGACTTTTCTTGGAGAGGTATTTAAAGTCATGCTTCGTTTCGGATCGTTGTTCCGAAAGCCAGCCGAGCGCGTGGTCGAATCGACGAAATTTGGGTAAACGTGGGCGTATTGTTGGGAAAAAGAAAGGACAGCAAAGTGAGCGGAAGTTGGAGCGTCAGCAGAAATGATGCATCAAGTGTGGGTATCGTCAAAGACGGTTCGTAACCGAAACCGAAGCCGGTGATCTTTGAAGCTAAGGCGGAATGGGAGGAGGAGAGGGTTCAACTCGGGAAACGCCGAAAACTCAAGCTCAGCCACGTAGACGCGTCTCAGCATGTGATCGACGCCCTGCGCCTCCAATCTTACCTACTCTCCGTCTCGCGGGCCATGATGCATGACTCCCCAGGAGTTTGGTGAGTGCCTGATAAAAGACTAAGCTAAATGAGACAGCCAATTCGAATTGCCACCAATTTGGTGGTCCACGTGTTCCTCAGTCGACGTTCATTGAACAGTGATTCGCAGCCTTGATTCGCACAATCTCGCTGCGACTACTATTGCGTGACGGGCATGTGGTCGTTTTTTCAATGGCGGCCGCCTTTGTGGCCTTAACGAAGTCCTCCTATTGGCTACAACCACTGGGTCGGCGGCTCGTATCCCCTCGGACCTCGGGACACCTATCTACTAAGTTTTATGTATCCACTGCCTAGCCGCGCGCTGATTCACCTCGCGGCCATCTTTTCTCGTATGATCAGGTGCGTGGATAATCACCTGTCCCCAGCGCGTGCCGCTGAAATTGGCTATTCTGTTGGGTCTAGACCGGTCTAGAACCACCTCTGTCTGAGAATGAAGAACTGTCTTCGTGATCTTGATCTACAGTCCCATTCTTGCCCTTACGTGCCTCCCACCCAACTGAGTCCCCTTGCAAGGAAGTGCGTCTAGACCTCGCACGCTGGTCCTACTACATAAAGAAAATCGGCAGACTGCAACGGGCTCCTGTCCGTGAGGCTACGTGATGATGATACATGTATCTACTTTGTGGGGAAGAAAACTTGAAGAAAACTATGATTGAATGTCACAGCCTCGAGCACACGGGCAACACACGCCCAATGGTAGGGTAAAACAAACAAATTCTTGACCCAAAGGAGAGAAAGATGAGGGACAAATGCACAAGTGTTGTGATTAAGGTGGCGCTATACCAGCTGGCTATATGCAAAACGACCAGGAGATGAACGAGAAAAAGATGGCCTGGGCCAAATCAGCTTCAGCGAACAAGCTCCTAGGGGAGTACGAACTCACGTTGCGGTCATGTCATGCATCGAGAATGGGCAAGGAATCGCCGCCCCAGTTCCTCATCAGCTCCAACCTCGTTCCCTTCTCCTGGATGTTGAACCTGAACTGACCCATGGTCGAGGGGATGTCAAGCAACCCGGCATCGGACAAGTTTTCGACAATGCGGATTATAAAACTTGTGTTGGACCACCCGAGTCCTCTTGTGTTGTACGTATTCTGACCGGGTCCCATTTCGGTAATGTATTCGTCCAATTGGTCCTGGGGCATGTTCACCTCCCCAAGATGTACGACTCCGATAATCGTCGGATCCGTGGAGAGCATGACATTACAAGAAAAGTTGGTATACCACGGCACCCTGGCACCAGTAGCATCATGGTTGCTGATCTGATAAAGGTGTACAGGAGCATTGCCGTAAAGGTGGGGACGTTCGACGGATACCAATGCCCAGTGCGTGTAGGTGTAGTCGTTCTCGGTGCGTTTGAAGAGTGCGATTCCGATGTCAATATCCGGACGAGGATTGGCAAGGGCCGAAAGCGCCGCGTTCATATCAACTGGATGGAAGGGGTACGAAGGTTGAGGGGGTGGCGAGGAGGTGTAGGATGCACAGGAGACTCACGGAACGGGGGGGACACAATCGTCGACGGAGAGGGGGTGGTGCTTGTAGAAAAGTATGATCTCTAAACTCACTCAGTTGATTCGCCACGAGGTCCGAACGCGATCTCCGTCGTCAGGGCTTGATTTCGTTTTCACTTTTTTTTTTCATCTCGAGGGTCGTTTTTCCCGAAATGGCGCGAGCCGAGCAGTGTGAAACGCCACCAAGTCAGCAAAGGGTGAGAGAAAGGCGTCCAAGGAAGTACTTATTGAGTGCTCATCCCCTCTCTTGTCAACGTGGTCAGCGGCAGAGATCACGAACACGTCCCGCCAAGCGACAGCCTCGGATCGGGCGTGAGTCTGTTCAAAATACGATTCTAGACATTCCCTCAGCTAATACTGTAATAAGTGGACCACTCGAGATGAACGAGATAAATGACGGTCCCTAGAACGACGACTGTGATGGACTCCAAGTGGTGTCATCGCAATGACTCCCAATTCTAGATCGAAGCACACTCCACAGAACAGATGCTCTTTGGTCACTGCTGGACTGATGTTTTATCTTCGCCGTTTCATTCCGGTCCGTATAGATTAGTGGTCAGATCGTCGTGTTGTGGTATCGCAATTCCGCGGCGACCCAGGTTCGAATCCTGGTACGGACACTCTCATTGGTATTTTTTTCCTGACTGTTTGTGCATCTTCAAATCCCGCCCGCGGAATGGGTTGTTTTTGCCGCAGTTGCGGCAACAGTCGTGGCAGTTCCCTACATCCCCGCATACCTCTGGGGAGAGTCGCGCACAAACGCCGTCAAACTTGTCCGGGGCTGATCCCCCGCAGTTGCTCGATAGGAAAAGTCAATCAGATTCACAGCCTTGCCGGCGGACACCGGACAGCGGCGGTGGGTGAGGCCTAGAACCATCCTTCCTCGTGTGGGCTGTCCAAACCTATCAACGATCATCTCCGTTGGCCACGATTGCGATTATGATACTTCATCTCGGCGGATGCAGTGATATCATAAGTCACCTTTTTAGAACTCACGGAAACCATGTCATGGGTGACGTGAATGAGCTGGGTTCCCAACAGGGCATGAATGCCGCTCACCGTAGCGAACAGAAACGATGAAACCAGAGGATTCGCCAAACCCAGAGGGGGGTAACGCAGGTCGGTCGATGTTCGCCCGATAATCATCCACCTCTTGCATGTTTCGCAGGTCCGGCGCCAGGAATCGGAGGCCGTTGATAAATAGGAACTCATCGTAGCGCTCGCGGTGAACCCTGGCCAAAGGTGTGGACACCAATGATCTGGCTCGATTCAAATGATGAGGCACTGCGGAACCGGATTCCAGGTGGGTTTCCAACTCCGACAAGGGCTAGGGATTTGTGGTCCAGATTCGACCAGAGAGTTGCGGTCATCACTGAGACTTTCTCTAACTCTACCGTAGTCGAGCGTTCAGGCGAAGCTGGTCTCCACCATCGTTGTTGAACGTTCGGGCGGACGTTGCGACCGTGGGATCAGATTCCCTTAAGCGAACTTAATCGACAAGCGCCGTCTCTGTTATGTCACGTGCTGGAACACAACCTCAAACCGCACTCCTCGCAGCGGGTCTCCGTCAGGCCCTGTAATCCCTTGCATCTCCAACGCTCTCTACTTTCTTCGGCTCTTTCTCTTCTAGAAGGGAAACTCTGCTGATTTCTCAAAATGTCGGAAACCGCTGCTGCCCCACCAAAGGACACTGAGTCGTATTTGTTGGAAGGCGAGGAGGATGAGACCGAGGTGCGCTTATGTTTGTGGCGACTCCTTCCCAATTATCTAACCTACGGACTCTTGTCGGTTCGGGAAATGTAGGAGATTAGCCTGATGAAGCAGCGAGTAGCAGAGATGGAACGAGAGGCTGAAAAGTTGCGCGAACTTCAAGCTGCCGCTGAATCAGCATCCACGCGCGATGGGTCAGACGGCACGGCTCCCCTTGAGGACGAAAAAAATGCTATTGACGGGAGGAGTGTTTTCGTTGGAAACGTGCGCCCAACATTTCCACAATTTCGTGACGAGTGACGTTGACGCCTTTTTCACTCGCTTTTTTCGCGCGCAGGTCGATTACAGTGCTACCCCAGAGGAGTTGCAGGCACATTTCCAGGCGTGTGGAACAATTAATAGGATCACCATCCTCTGCGACAAGTTCACTGGGCATCCAAAAGGGTCCGTCAAGAAATAACGTCATTCACAAGGTCCCATCTCTCACACACGGTTTTTTCCACTCTAGGTTTGCGTATGTCGAATTCGCAGAGTCAGACTTCGTCGATGCTGCCATGGCCTTGGACAATTCATTATTCCGTGGTCGACTCATAAAGGTGCGCACATTTGTTGTTCGTCGGACCGATTGTGTATTCTGAGTCTCGTCTCTTTAGGTGACAGCGAAGCGAACAAATGTTCCCGGGTTCAATAGAGGTCGTGGTCGTGGCGGCTACAGGGGCGGATACCGCGGTGGTTATCGTGGCGGAGGAGGAGGTTATCAGCCATACCGTGCTCGCGGAAGGTGCGTTTTAGACCAAGTGTTCGGCTCGATCCACAGGGCTCATCTTACATTTTGTAGGGGGCGCGGTCGAGGATTTTAAGCTGCAGCCAATAAAAGTACTTCCATGCGCGACGAGAAGAGATGCTCCTCCCCTGCTTGCTCTGTATATATGCCATCCATGTACTTGCCATCGCATACGGCTATACATTACCGAACGATTAATCAGCCAAAGCAAAGCTCCTGACCGCCAGAGGCTCAGCACTGAGACACCCCCCCTCCCCTGAACTTGAGGCTAGATTCCAGCCACTCAGTACGCAGGACTTAGCTTGGAACACTAGAAACACTTACGAACGGACGCGTTGATGACTACCGCCGTCGTTTTGGCCGTCCTGCGTTGCGTCGCGCAGTAACAGTCCCTTGGCGGTTCACGCCCTTTCGAGCCGGTTTTGCAGACATGCCTTTTGATAACCTCCACTGTTCGCGACGGGAATTGCGGGGACCATGGGTGTTGATTTTGGTGGTTTTCGAGGTCTTGTCAACATCCATGGTGTCTAGAGGCAAAAATTCAGCTTCAGGCAACCTTGTGGAACCATCAAGAGCACGATACCTGATCCATTCCTGACCTTGGGTTGCGTATCTTCTGGATGTAGCACAGTTGCCGATCAGGAAAAGTACGATAGTGATTCATAAGAGGGAGCAGAGAGTAAATCAACACCGACCAGCCATGACCTCTTCCTGGGCCTCCTCGTCTCTCTCTGCGTTTTCTACGTCTTCCAAAATTTCATCTTGAACGGGTTTTGGCGCAGCAACGATGGCGTCGATTCTGGCGTGCAACCGTTGCAGCCTAGCGGCATGGGCGACTGCATAAACTCCATCTTCACGTTTTTTTGCCCTGAAGGCCCGCTTTGTTTTCGATCTGAGGGATTTTGCCATCGAGAACCTCAAAAGGTTATGGTGGAGGGAAAAAGTTATGGATTATGTAAGCTGCTTATCATGGCCGTAAGAGTCCTCGTGTGTTCCTCGAGCGCACAACATGAGGCGTGGATGCAAAACCACTTGCTTGAGAGAGAAAATAAAAGTGTGAATTTCTGCGATTATTCTTGAGAGGTTATTGAGCCTGTGGCGGTGGTCACAGCGAGAAAAGGTCGACCCGAGTACCAACCAAGGCCGTTGGAGGATTTCGATTCGGAATCAACTTGAACTTCGAAGCGGATGGTGTTACTCCAACGACAACTCTCCTCCGTCTACCACCACCCCCGCCACACACTAGACACTTCTGTGTGTAACAAATCGCAGGTCGATAAGCTGCACTCACCGTTGCCGTCAACTTAACAAGATTCCGCAGCACACACGCCTTGCACGTTCCTCGTCCATCTTAACTCACCATGCCCAATCCTCGTTCACTTCGGACCCTCTCCATATCTTCAAATGTCAACAAACAACAAAACCTCGGTCACGGTCCTCCCTCACCCACCTTCTCAGACGCTACAAACGCGTCCGCTATAAACTTTGGATCCAATGGTCCAGAGAAGGTCATCACAAGGGCCGATCTCAAAGCGGGCTTGCAGGCTTATGATGAGGTGCGTCCACGTATCTTCGGATGCTATTAAACGCTGCAAGTGAACTCATCAGAGACGTTTGTTGGTGGTTTTTGGCGTAGCTTTTAAATGCTTGCGCAAATTATCGCTCAGTCCTGATGTCCCTATCGAAGGCAACCTCGCAGTTCGCCGATGCAATGGAAGCTTGCTCAAGGTACGGATATAATTTCGCATACTATTTCTGCACATATGAACGAGAATCCTTCGAATATGTAGGCTGAAGGGACCATCTTATGAAACTTCGACGAGAATACAAGGCGCTTCTGGCCTCCACCACCTCATGGGCAACCAATGGCACATTATGGTATATGCACCTCACCTTCGCCGTCTCCAAAATTCTAACTAAGTTTTTTAGGCTGATTCATTGGACCGAAAGTTTGAGAAGCCATTAAAGCATCATCTCGATGGGTACAAAAGCGTCGTTTCGGTCAGTTTCTCCCGGGTTCTCTCCACATCCAATCTTGACACTTAACGCCCCATAGGATCGTTCATCCACCTACGAACGTGCACTGAAAGAGAAGAGTCGTATCATCCGGCAAACAGAGCTCAGTAACTTGAACAAGCGAACCCGGAGTACGTGTTCCAGTACGATGACACCACCAGCCACATTTACACCCCTCCCAAGATCTGCAATCGTTCAGGGAAGCCCTGCAGGTATTACAGCGTCAAGTCGACGACTTGGATGAGCTTAAGGCCCGTCATTACGAAGAAATCATGGAGCATGAAGAAGAGGTCTGGGACTTTGTGCAAGGGAAGGTATGTGTTTTTTGGAATGAAATGTTGCAGAGTAATTATACTGACGTATTTGAAGTTGTGCCTCGTAGTACGGTCAAGTTTGGACATATTCGATAGGTTTACCGCCAAAGCGTACGCAAACTATCATTGTCCATAGCAAAGGCTCACGGCTTGTTTACAGCTCCGACCCAGTAATTGAGCCTATGCTCCAAGCCGTACCGGATCCATTCGACTCCTACGGTCCTCCAGCAACAGAAGACCAAATTTTCTCCATTCTCCCGCCTTTAATGACAACGACCTCCCCTGGGCCCACCAGCATCGTTTCTACACCACAACTGAGCGCGAGTGATCTGGGAATCAGCCCCACGAGACCAACGTGGATGCCTACCGTTAGTCAAACAGGAGGAGGGTACTTCACAGAGACGAACTCTGCGTGGGCGGACCTTCCAGGAACGCTTCCTATCGCCTCTCCTCCAAACTCACCACCACACCGAAGGTCCCAATCACCGCAGCAGAACGAAGGAGGAGCATTTGGAGTATTCCGGAGGAACTCACATCCTCCCACATCTGGGGGTGGGACCAAAGCAGAGTCGAAGTTGAGAAGTGTATTGACAGCCATTGATGAATCGCATGCCCGTTCGAATAACAGCTCAAATGGCTCTGAAAAGGGCGCAGACTCCCCAGATACTCCCACAAACCCAGAAATATCTGCTGGGATCAATGGTCTGACCAGGTCTGCATCGGACACTCTCGGTCAGCCCTTTAGTGGTGGCTGTGGCAGAGTGGGAAGCTGGAGCCACGATTCGTTGGACAGCGG